AACTAAATATCAAATCATTTAAATTATTAGTTGAGATTATACCCGAAAATAAGCAACCTTATAGCAAAAAAGGTGTGATTATTTTTAGAGGAATACGGTAACAGTAAACGATAATATTGGTTGATAGGGACTACATGGTAGATATTAATACCAATTGGGAATTTAAAATTTGTGTTTAAAGTAATTTGCTTAATAAATCTATGATTATTTGAATAAGTTCAATTATATCGTCTTGTGATAATAAAAAATTTTTTGAGTAGAATAGAATGGTCATTTCCCTTGAAAAAATTGTCACATTATTGATAAAATTAAATCGCTTACTTTTACATTAATATTATTTATAAAGAGGATCATAAAATCTTATAACATTTGTTTACAAAAAAAAACTTTGGAAATATTAGGACGAATTGGTGAAACTTTTTTAAAGCTCATCTGTTAATAATTAGTTTATAAAAACTTTCAGCTAGACGATAGATTTTCTTTATTGCTATTCAATATTGTATTTTAAATCAAAGTAGCTGCGCGACATTGTTGCGCTAAACCAGGAATGGATGATTATAGGCTTAGAGTGTTCTCAAGTCACTCCCTCAATGTGGTCTGATAGTGATTTGAAATAATGCAATCATTGTTTGAGCAAACCATCCTTGCTTTACTCTATTATCAGCAAAAATGTAACAAAAAAAAAGACGACTATCCAACAAACAAATGCAACTTAGGCAACTCCAAGTGCCCTTTACAGACTTTATGAATATTCATCTATTGTTTATAGCAACAATATTCATAGTGAACAAAACCAATGCCGAAAATAATGAAGCATTTGAATTTTAATAAAAAATAAAATAAATACAGTATATATAATAATTTTTGACATAAAAGTTAAGAAATAACAATTGTTAGCAAGTTTTTTTGCTCTTTGAGTTTTCTGGAATTTTTATTATCGACAAGTGTTTGGAACATAAAAAACAATTCAATAATTTTTTTTAATGATTATAATTTTGCTAAAGATCCATGACATAAAGCAAAGTGCTTGAACGACATCTTTTTTTACTCTATTAATAAGCAGTGTTGGCCATTTAGCGTTAACTCTATGAAAAAAAAAGATGGTCTGCGCCTCCAGACTTTTTTTAGTGAAGCATCAATTCACTCAATCCCCCGACTATTTAAAATTTTATTCCCGAATAATTAATTTAGGCACTTGAGAACACCCTTAATTTAGAAAATGTTTGACAACTACAACTCCAATATAGAGTAGTTATATATTGATTTTAATTCGTATAAAATAAATATTATATTGATATGAGACACTAATTTGAATGAACAAGAAATTTACAAAATTTTAGATGTACATAGTATAGAGTGTAAAATATCTTTAAAAAACATAACATACCAGTCCACTATAATTTTCTAATGCATAACGCCGGAATAGATATTAAATACGTATAGGGTATTTTACACCACCCCATACCATACAGATCTGGTCATACTAATTTGCATAATTAGAAATGTTCTTGGCAGATGATACACAAAAATTTCTATATCAGACATACTATCATTAAACTACCCCAGTAGCACCGACAGATTTTGATCGAAATAAATTGACCAATTAGATTTTAAGATCAGGTGTAACGTGAAAATCATACATTTTTTTAAAAATTTTAAAAAATAGCAAATAACTCAAAATTTTATATATGAAACTACTTACTGTGCATTAGTAAAAAAAATTCCTTGCCAAATTTTGGTATAAAAAAAGCTCCTATGTTATTACAAGATCAAAACCTAAGCCTAGTATAATGTTTTATTATTTTAAAAGTCATTGTTTTGATCAAATCTGATCGGTGTCGATCAGTGAAAATCTATCGGTGCTACTGGGGTAGTTGTTTCCACCCGGGTGGCACAATGTCCACCCGACGGGTCAATTCACTAGAATTAATCATGCAAATGATCGAAATATTGCAATAATTGAACTACGATACTACTATATGATTTCTATGCTTCCGGCTTTTTAAAACGTACAAATCCAAAATCAAATTAAAAAAAAAAATGAAAAAAAAAATAAAATAAAATTGAATGATATCACGACTTTATTATAAACACATTCGATTCAACACAAGTAATTACAATATATTCATGATAATACACGTTTTATGATCACATTTTTCAGATATAACCCATAAAAATGTTAAACCGCATTATGAAAAAGATCTATAGGATATTGGTCAATGCTTCAAATTTAATTATATTTATCTTATAACTCCTTACTTATGAAGGTTTTTGTCATCTAACTTAAAATTTTCCTTTTCTTCTCTTTTATGGAGGTTTTTGTCATCCGACTTGACAGTTTTCTTTTCTTCTCTTTTATGAAGGTTTTTGTCATCTGACTTGACACTTTCCTTTTCTTCTCTTTTATGAATGTTTTTTGTCATCTGACTTTTTGTCATCTGATTTTTTATCATCTGACTTTTTGTCATCTGATTTTTTATCATCTGACTTTTTATCATCTGACTTTTTGTCATCTGACTTTTTACTTTCCTTTTCTTCTCTTTTATGAACGTTTTTGTCATCTGATTTTTTGTCATCTGATTTTTTATCATCTGACTTTTTATCATCTGACTTTTTGTCATCTGACTTTTTACTTTCCTTTTC